TTTGTAATAAATTAAATATTTTCTTACGCGTAAAAAATAGTTTTTTATGCGTAAAAAGTGTTTTTTCTGCGTAAAAAAGTTTTTTTAACAGAAACAAATAGTTTTTGACGCGTAAAAAATAGTTTTTTACGTGTAACAAATAGTTTTTATAAACGCAATTTTTTTTTTGGTAAAAAAGTTTGACAGGTAAAAATTAGTTTTTTACGTGTAACAAATAGTTTTTAACACGTAATTTTTTTTTGCCTAACAAGAGTTTTTTTACCAGAAACAATCTGTTGTTCAACAAGTTCTTGACGCGTAAAAATTAGTTTTTTTCGTGTAACAAATAGTTTTTTACACGTAAAAACTTTTTTTTTTTCGGTAAAAAAGTTTTTTTACCAGAAACCCAGAAACAATAAGTTTTTGACGCGTAAAAAAATATTTTTTTACGTGTAACAAATAATTTTTTACACGTAAAAAATATTTTTTTTTGCTTAAGAAAGTTTTTCTACCAGAAACAATAAGTTTTTGACGCGAAAAAAAATATTTTTTTACGTGTAACAAATATATTTTTACACGTAACAAATAGTTTTATATGCGTAAAAAATAGTTTTTTTATGCGTAAAAAAGTTTTTTTAACAGAAACAAATAGTTTTTGACGCCTAAAAATAGTTTTTTACGTGTAACAAATAGTTTTTTTAAACGTAAATTTTTTTTTTGGGTAAAAAAGTTTGACAGGTAAAAATTAGTTTTTTACGTGTAACAAATAGTTTTTTACACGTAATTTTTTTTTGCCTAACAAGAGTTTTTTTACCAGAAACAATAAGTTCTTGACGCGTAAAAATTAGTTTTTTTCGTGTAACAAATAGTTTTTTACACGTAAAAATTTTTTTTTTGGGTAAAAAAGTTTTTTTACCAGAAACCCAGAAACAATAGGTTTTTGACGCGTAAAATAATATTTTTTTACGTGTAACAAATAATTTTTTACACGTAAAAAATATTTTTTTTTGCTTAAGAAAGTTTTTCTACCAGAAACAATAAGTTTTTGACGCGAAAAAAAAAATAGTTTTTTACGTGTAACAAATATATTTGTTCACGTAACAAATAGTTTTATACGCGTAAAAAATAGTTCATTACTGTGTGTGGCCTTGGGCTTAGAATTCGAGTTTCGAAAAATCTCTTCTTATCGAACCTCTACACCCTAAAGTCAATCTGTTTTCCAAAAATCAGCTTTTTACGCCAAGCGCTTTAAGCAGTATCGTGATTAATCAATGACCAGATTTTTCACCCCTGTTATACAACACATGAACACCCTGTATACATTTTTAAAAAATCTTAAAATATGTAAAAAAACAAAATAAAATATACTTGTTTAAGCGTTTTTTCTGAAACTTGACCGTTTTTTAAATAAAAAAATATTGTAATATTTGAGGGGTGGTTTCACCCTCTTGGAACTGGAATTTCGAAAAATCCCTTCTTATCGAACCTCTCTACACCCTAGAATCAACCTGTATGCCAAAATTGAGCTTCTTACGTTGAGTGGTTTGAGCAGGATCGTGATTAATCAGTATGTCAGTCACTTAAGGATTTTATATATTAGTATAGATACAAACACACCAAATCCCGTTTTTTTAACTGAAAAAATAAAACAATTATATGGGTGAGCCATTTTTGAGCCGCACCCGGTATATTCTGTGCTAGCATTAACGGAGGAATCTCCATTTTCAACAAATTCAAGATTGTAAAATATCAGTAGTTTTTTTTAAAAAATGTATAGCTCATAACACAATAGGGATAATAGGATAATTAAAAAATTAAATGTTAGAAATACATCTAAGATCACAGGAAAGTCTTTTTTATCCAAAATGCCCGTCCCATTTTTTCTACAGGGTGTTTTGAATTTATTCCAAAAAACGCAATTTTGATTTACCCCGGTATAAACCCACCTAACCGAAATATATAAGCCATTAAAATAATAAAAAATAATCAAAATTTATCTACGAACTAATACCATAATCATAAAATTCGGATTACATATTCAAAAGTTATTAAACATCAAACTTAGTCAAAATTTTAGGGTGGCGGAATTTTGTACCGGCGAGTTTATTATTAATTTGAAGTACTTGTCTAAATTATAACTAATCGGTGTTTAATTATGATCAAAAAGGTTCAAGAAGCTGAAGTATCGAAAGGCAGACGCGATTGGGCGTTCTCCGAACGAGACAAGATCGTTTTAGAAAGAGAAAGCATCAGAACTCTGTGCGATAACATGAGAAAAGAACGGGACAGAGCTGTTTCCGAACTTGCCGAATCTCTCAGAGAATCTGACGCCATCAAGAAACAAAGAAACGAACTTCTCAAAGAAAACAAAGTAAGTTTTGATTTAAAATTATGTTTTTTTGTTTTAATTTTTTCTCTATAGGCTTTAAGGGAAGCATTGGAAGCTCAAATCGAAAGAGAAGGTAGATTGTCGCAATCGAACATAGAAGAGCAACACGCTTGCGGTCATACTGAAGTGATTCAGCTTGATTTGACCAGTTCGGACGAAGAAGCATTAGAATTTGCGGGTAAGCGTCTCATTAAAGCATTTTTTACATTTGTTTAATTTTGGAAATTTAAAAATTTCCAGGTGGTAAAGAGTTTCCTGGCGATGGCTCCGTATACGTAGCTTCCGTGGCTCCCGGTTCTTCAGCGATCGGTAAATTCTTCCCCCACGACAAAATCCTGAGGGTGAATGACGTGGATTGCAGCCAGGTGTCCTTGAGAATGGTCACGGAAGCCATCAGATCCAGTATGCCGGCCGCGCATGTTCTTGTGCGCAGAACAAGGTGCGCGAGAAACGAAATAGGTGCCACTGGGGAACAGGTCACCAAATGGATTCATACCGCTCGTCTTGCACCAGGTAAAATACAAAAAAATGAGACCTTTGATCATATAAAACATCTAGAGAGATAATTTTGTTAATATCCTGTAACCAACATAAATCGAACGAAATATGACGTCATTTCAGGGTAGGTAAAGAGATTAAAAAGAACATTAGATCATCTATTACCTAGACGATGCAATTTTTAATGTATTCTGTAGCCAACATGTCCTATTATAACGGCATAACAGAGCAAGAAAACTATGTTTTTATTGCGCTTAAATTATTTTTAAATAAAATTTTCCAAATGTAACAAGTATGCGAACACGGTCTTGTAGCAGGTAAAATTCAAAAACCGAGAAGTTTGATCATGCAATACACCTAGACACTTAATTTTATCGAAAAATCCTGTAACCAACATAACTCCAACTATGCCGTCATTTCAGGGCAGGTAAATCATCATCTCTTACCTAGACAACGCAGTTTTCATCATTTTATCCTGTAGCCAACATAATGTCGTATTGTGACGTCACAACAGGGCAGGAAAAGTGTGTTTTTACGATGTTTTTATTGAATATAGATAGAAAATTATAAAACATAGATGAAAGAATAAGAAAAGTTGTTTTTATTTGCATATAAACAGAATACGTATGTACAAAATAAAACCCGATCTTTGATCATGTAATACACCTAGACACTTTATTTTGTTAATATTCTGTAATCAACATAAATTGAACAAACTACGACATCATTTCAGGGCAGGTAATATTAATAAATAAATCATTACATCATCTATTACCTAGACAACGCAAGTTTCATTGTATTCTGTAGTCAAACCTAGACATTTAAATTTGTCAATATCCTATAACCAACGCAAATCGCATTATGATGTCATTGCAGAGCATGCAATCTCAAAAATATAACATTAGATCATCTTTTACCTAGACAACGCAATTTTCATTGTATCCTATGACATCATTTCAGGGTAGGTAATATTAAAAAATAAATCATTACATCATCTGTTACCTAGACAACGCAAGTTTCATTGTATTCTATAGTCAAACCTAGACATTTAATTTTGTCATTATCCTATAACCAACGTAAATCGAATTATGATGTCATTGCAGGGCATGCAATTTCAAAAATGTAACATTAGATCATCTCTTATCTAGACAACGTAATATTAGTTGTATCCTGTAGCCAACATAATGTCGTATTGTGGCGTCACAACAGGGCAGGAAAACTGTGTTTTTAAGTTGTTTTTTTATATATTGAATATAGATATAAAATTATAAAACATAGACGAAATGGTAAGGAAAGTTGTTTTTATTGCATATAAAGAGAATACATACAAAATAAAACCCGATCTTTGATCATGTAATACACCTAGACACTTTATTTTGTTAATATTCTGTAATCAACATAAATTGAACGAACTATGACGTCATTTCAGGGTAGGTAATATTAAAAAATAAATCATTACATCATCTGTTACCTAGACAACGCAAGTTTCATTGTATTCTATAGTCAAACCTAGACGTTTAATTTTGTCATTATCTTATAACCAACGTAAATCGAATTATGATGTCATTGCAGGGCATGAAATTTCAAAAATGTAACATTAGATCATCTCTTATCTAGACAACGTAATATTAGTTGTATCCTGTAGCCAACATAATGTCGTATTGTGACGTCACGACAGAGCAGGAAACTGTGTTTTTAAGATGTTTTTTTTTTATTGAATATAGATAGAAAATTATAAAACATAGTTGAAAGGGTAAGAAAAGTTGTTTTTATTGCATATAAAGAGAATATTTTTACAAAATAAATGTCGACACGGTCTTGCAGTAGGTAAAATTTTAAAAACCCGATCTTTGATCATGTAACACACCTAGACACTTAATTTTGTTAATATCCTGTAACCAACATCAATTGAACGAACTATGATGTCATTTCAGGACAGGTAATATTAAAAAATAAGTCATTACATAATCAAACCGACATTTAATTTTGTCAATATCCTATAACCAGCGTAAATCGTATTATGACGTCATTGCAGGTCATGAAATTTCAAAAATATAACATTAGATCATCTCTCACCTAGACAACGCAATTTTCATTGTATGCGGTAGCCAACATAATGTCGTATTGTGACGTCACAACAGGACGGGAAAAGTATGTTTTAAGATGTTTTTTTATTGCATATAGATAGAAAATTATATTAATAGATACATATTCTTACAATACACCAAGTGTCTCTAATAGAATACCTATCTCATTTACATAAGAATTAGTTATTGTTAAAGTCTCTGCCACAAGTTATAGAGGATTTCGAAAGATTGGATCCAAAAAATGACACAAAATACAGTGTACCTGTGAATTAAAATGGCAGAACTGTCATTGTCATGACAGGCTTAACAAATGTGGCTCTTATTACAGGCTGTCACGGTCTGTCACTGAAAATGGGCGTCTACATCAACCGCATCAGCGAAGGCAGCTTGGCCGCGACCGACAAAAGCCTGACCGTAGGCGATAGAGTGCTCAGAATCAACGACAAGTCCATGGACGACATCGAAAACGTCAGAGAAGCCATGCAGGTGCTCAACGACGAAAGCTCTGACGTCATCAACATCACCACCCTGAAGATGAGCTATCCGGAGTGTCCGAATGTTTTTACGCCAGTGAGGAGGAACAAAAAAGAGAACAGAAGCTCACAGGTAAAGTAACCATCAATTGACTTTGTTTTAAAATTCTAAAAATGCTAAAAAAAATATTATAGACTGAGGATTGGTTGAGTCAAGGCGACTACAAGTACAACAACCAAGAGAAGAACAGCAGTGCGTGGCTCAAAGAGAAATTCGAACTCATGAGGGTACCGTGGAGACACTCAAAGGAGGATAAAAAATACAGAAATAGCTCGCCGAATCCTATAGACTTCGGTCACGAACAGGCTATAGCCGAGTTGGACTCTGTCTTGGAGAGTTACCATCATAATACAATAAAAAGGTCTTCGGGAGGGGCAAAAAGACACCTGTCACAGCCAAAGGAGGAGAAAAATAATGGAGGAACTTGGCCTAAGGCTAGAGCTACAGCTGTACTAACTCCAGGTAAGAGAAAAATCGAAATAGAAATATATAGAGAGCCTCTCTCTCTCTAAGACTCATAATAATATCTCTGCAATTCAACTTCCGACACAGTATCTTTCCATATCTATGTACTTTGCATAAAATCAATATTCTAGGTGGGGGTACCGTAGTGACACGTACCAAAGAACGACCTCCTTTAAGTTTGCTCGCGCAACCAAAAGAAACACCCGATTACTATCGCAATTCCACGCCAATGCCGCTGTCTTTAGCGCCACAAAATTCGTCAACGTCCAACCGGCATTCGGTTTACAAAAGCGTGGACACGAGCCACCATTTCGGCATGGCCACTGACAGCTTCGAAATTGTCAAATGCGGTAACGGATCGTCCAACAGGCACAGCGCTAACATGAACTCGGGCAACAGTCTGGACATGCCCGTGCAAAGGCTGTACGAGAAAGAAACCTTGCCGTATTACAAGAAGAACAGTCGTTTAGGTAAGAAGAATCTTAAAGTGTCTAGAAGTTTTATGGTCTAAGGTTCTTTTTTCTAGGGATAGCAAAATATGGTTCAGACTCTGAAAGGGACAGTCTGATAAGCACCGATCTCGGTCCAACTCATTCGAGGGGTCCCAGTCAGTTGTTTGTACCGAATAGGGTTCATTACCCCTACCATCCTCATCCTCATCCCCATATCAATCATTCTAGGGAGAGTTTCAGCTTTGAACCGTACCAACACAATCACAGTCCTTCGGTGGATACCGGTAGCAGAAGACCGCCCGATCTGCTTGAGACAGGGGGTACATTTCCGAGAAAGAGGTAACTTACATGGGTTTAAATCTTAGAGCAATAAGTACACGATCAGGTGTTTATGAGTTTTTTCATATTTTTTACGAAAAAAAAACCATAAATACTAATATTCATCTAACAAAGCATTTCTTCAATTGATCTACTTTCGTGACGTCATGCGTCATTGTATCAGGCCTTTATCCTCATGTGGGTTGTGGCTTACTTATTTTCCAAGGCATCTACATTCATATACAGGGTGGTCAGAACTGTTTTCCGGATACTTCGGTTAGTTAAAAATAAGTAAAAAAGTTCGTATAAATGTTATGTCTTAAAATGCTTGGTTTCAGATTACAGATACAGGTTGTAGAAGTTTCATTTTTATTTGGATTTTTCCAAATAATTTCTGAAGTAACGTCAATATTTGGATGAAAATTGGTGTCTGGAAGTTTTTTGACATGAGAAATTTGATTTTGATGTCAATATGACCCCTATTTGTAGGGGGCGCCACCTACATCTGTTTTAACTGTTTTGAAGAGTAATAACTTTTCGTCAGTACCTGTATAAAACTACTGAGTGAAAAAATATACATTTTCGTGATTTTTTACGTGAAAAATGTCTCTTGGTAAAAATCGCTACGAGGAACCGTTCTCAAGATATTTAGAACGGAAATAGTCAATAACCGGTGTCGCCCTCTACAAGTAGGAGTCATATCGACATCAAAATCGAAATTATCATGTCAAAAAACTTCCAGACACTAATTTTCATCCAAATATTCACATTACTTCAGTAATTATTTGGAAAAAATCGGATTAAAAATGAAATATCTACACCCTGTATCTCCGAAACTAAGTATTTTAGGACATACATTTATACAAACTTGCTTACTTATTTTTAACTGCAGAATATGCTACCAAAGTTTCCTGAATACAGTTCAAACCACCCTGTATAGCTAAATTTATGGTGATACTTTATTTTCTGGTAGGTATCTATTCTATCCATCTAGTGTTTATGTGGATTTATCCAATGGATTTTGGGTTAAAATTGATCTTTTATTGAAATTTTTGTGCTATTCAGCTCTAGTTCACGAGTTCTTTCATCTTTATGTCGTGGAAAATTATTCTTAAATACTAATAATGCTGAAATAAACATATACAAACTATGCATTAATCCGCCTGCTTTCGTGACGTCATACATCGTTGTATCAGGCCTTTATCTTTACGGAGGTTGTGGTTTACTTATTTTATAAGGTAGTATATACATACATTCATACTAATCTAGATTTATAGTAATACTTTATTTTCTGGTAATTGTTTCTATCTTTGTGGTGTTTTAATGTACCATACTATCGAAAAAAACGGCGTCAAGGACGGCTGGGAATAACAGTTGATGATTATTTTAGCGAGGTCAAACTCTAGACTTTGGTTCTCTACAGTTGGCCAACAGAAGGTTGTAATTTATTTTTATATTGAGAAAAAATATTTCTATCTAATGCTCTAATGTATTTCCTATTAATGTGGATACTTTTTTTTGATCGATTTTCTTTGTGTTCTTTTATCTCTATGTCTTGAAAAAATGATCCTTAAATACTAATATTAACATAAACACAATATATCAGCTATACAATAAACTTGACTAATTTCGTGACGTATACAGCGTTGCAACATGTCTTTATCATCACGAGGATCATGCTAATACTGAACTAATATAAAATATAACTGTAATGTAACAATATTTTTCTTTTATTTGTAATAAAAATGTCTAAATACGTCTTTACGCCTGTGAACAGAGATTTCGCGTACCTTCCAACCCTAGTGTTACTTCCAAGGTGAGTACCGGAAGTATAGAAAGAGGAAGCTCGGAAAGGGGTAGTCCCATGCCGATTTTTCACGTGGAGGTCCTCAGTAGTCCCGGGGACCACTCCTCCCAAGTGAACGGGCCCAAAGACTACTGTCCGTGGGGACACAAACCTCTGCCTGGCGAGCTACGGAGAGTCCACATAGGTAAATTCGAATATACAGGGTGTTTTATAAAATATTAATGTTTCTTCTTCATCAGATAAATCCAACGAACCTTTGGGCATCCAAATCGCTGATACCGGCGGTATTTTCGTGTCGACTGTTACCGAGGGTAGTCTGGCTAGTAGGGTGGGGCTACAGATCGGCGACCAGCTGTTGGAAGTGTGCGGAATCAACATGCGCAACGCCACCTACAATTTGGCAGCGAACGTACTGAGACAGTGCGGAAATTCCATTACTATGCTGGTCCAGTACAGTCCTGATAAATACCACGAGGTAAAATAACTTAAAAATAGTTTTTTTAATTCAACCAATTTTTTTTTTTTTTATTATTAATATTAAATTTGACAGATATGCCAAGTACAGGCTATTTTTAAACATATACCAAACAGATACGACGATCGCAAAACAATTTCCGATGCGTCATCAACTTTGAGTGACAACGATGGCGACAACGCTGCCAGATTGTAATATATATATATAAAAAAAAAAAACAATATATTTATTATATCATTTTAAAGATTTTTTTTCTTAAAATAGAAACTAATATTTGTAATTAATTGATTTATTTGTTTTATAGCTTATTTTACTTATTATTATATTGCGAGCTAGCAGCGTCGGAAAAACAAGTATTTTAAGCCGTCTGGCTCTTTGATATATCTTTTACTATGCTCTCTAGAACAAAGGATATAGAGATAAGGATAGTTCGATTCCTATCTTCCTGCACTGCCAGTTTTTTACGTCTCATCTACTGACCGAGTTGAAGTTGGCGCTAAAGATTTTAAACAGTGATTATTTTTGCATTTGACGGACGAGCGCACAGTGCGTTGGAAAATAAATTTAGCAGGACAAAAGCGTTTGGTTAGAAATAAGCCAAAAATGTGGACTGATAAGAAGAAATAGTAGACATTCCAAAAGATATAAAAATGCATGAATATTCTTTGTATTTCGATACATTTTATCAACTAAATTTGATCGTTTTCTGCTCAGCAAGGCAGAATCATACGAAAACAAAATATTTTTTTTTTTTTCTAAAGAATATATTAAAGCCAAATTATATGTTGAAGATTGCAAAAGGTATGTACTTTTCTACTGTGCGTATATTATTTGTTAAAATCCTTTGTGCCTTTGTTCTACAGATATCAAATTTTCACTTTTTTCAAAATATCGATATATTGAATGATGTAGATCTTTTGAGTTACCAATAGTTACCAGCACAGGTAGTCACAGTCACAGGGAGTTCATGCTTAACAGGTGAATGCCAAAAAGATTCATTTTCAATCAGATGGTATAAAAACAAAACAACTTCATCAAAAGGCACTGAGTTTAAAGAATTGTCTTAGATACTTACTATTTATGAATTTACAATTACCAGTAAAATTAAAATTAAAATATCTATCTTATTTATTATTTCAAAATAAAATATGTTTTTTAAAATAAATTATAGAGGGTGTCACAGATTTACAAATTAATTAAAGCACAACAAAAAGAGTTTTAGTTTCATAATTTTATGTATTTGGTAACAGTTTACAAAACGGTTTTTGTGTATTATGTACAGATAATATCATAGTTTTATTATCTTGTAATATCTTGTTAATAAATTAAGTTGTTAATAAATAAATGAATTTAACCATATAGTTGCTATATATTAGACCATTTGCTACGTTCCACCATTTTAAGTCCCAAACATTGCTCTTGAGATTTTGTCCCGCTAGAATAACCATCCGCCGCACTGTGGAGGGCTGGTCAGCGCGTGACGTAGCATTCACGGCGACTACGACAGCGGCGATTTGACGCGATCGGACAGTCCTTTAGAATATATACAGTCCTTGCTCTAGAACAGCATGCGACCCGTCTGGCTGCCGGTAAACGTTGCGTCCTCTACTGCGCATTGAAAGAAGATCCTATATTTTATTAGTCTTTTAAATTCTAGTATTGAATATTAATCGAACATCTCCATAGCGCAGTGCGTAGAGTTTCCGACCACGAACCGATGATTCAGAGTTCGAATCCGGGTCAGGGAACAAAGAAAAAAAATATATTCAATACTAGAATTTATAGGACTAAATTAATAAAAAATATAGCATCTTCTTTCGATGCGCGGTAGTAAAGCAACGGTATCGGCAGCCAGACGGGCTTTTTATGCTGTTCAGAGAGCATAGTAAAGATATATGAAAGAGCCAGACGTCTTAAAATTCTTGTTTTCGACGTTGCTAGCTCTTGAACTATTACATATTGGCAAAAACTATTTATTATATGTGTATTTAGGTGGGTGGTGGTACCGAATCTCTCTCTGGTACTTCTTCGAACGAAGACGACGAAGATGAAGACGACGAGGAGGGTGAGGGTGATGCCACGCCCTGTAATTCGCCCAAAGAAGTGAGAAAAAGTTCCTCCCTGCAAAACAAGCCTTCTTCGTTGATTGTGATGCAAAGACAGGCCGGAGTATCGAACATAGGAAGCCCCAGGTAAATTATTTGCACGCCCTGTATATAAAGCTTTTTGCCAATGAATTGTACAATTTAAAATATGTTTGCCATCTGTAAACAAGACTTTAAAAGTTGTTACGATGTGGTTTCCAGAGGAACAGTGGAGGGAACCCAGGTATCTCCTGCATTAGAAACGTTAGAAAACGTCAACATTTAGAATTTCTTTGGTGGGAGGCAACGCAGCTGGTATATTCATCCACTCAGTCCAACCTGACTCCTTGGCCTATCACGCTGGTCTCAGAACAGGAGATCAGATCTTGGAATACAACGGTAGCGACCTCAGATCGGCTACGGCAGAGGAAGCAGCGTATGAACTGGCTAAACCAGCCGATAAAGTGACAGTTCTGGCACATTACAGAATCGAAAGTAAGAAAAATATCATACGATCATTATTTTAGATGTATATTGTGTAAAATGTTTTGAGGGGATGTTACAGGAATACAACGAAATCAAGGATAAACCTGGTGACAGTCTCTACGTTCGATGCTGTTTTGACAGAGGCGGTAATGACGTCACTGAACCTCCTCAGCTGTCCTTTTGTAAGGACGACGTGCTCTACGTGGACAACACTATGTTCAATGGCGTTCCTGGACAGTGGCGTGCATGGAAGCTTGATGGCGAGGGGCACAGACAGCAATGTGGCGTCATACCCAGCAAATACAAGGTTTGCATAAAATTGTCTTAAGCCTAAACATAAATATCATACCAAAAAAAACTGTTAGTCATGTGATTAAACTTGACTAAGTTATTAATTACATGAACAAAACTCACGTCCTTAACAGCACTTAAGGGACATAAAGGGCCATTACTACCGCTTTCCCGTTCGAAATATTCTAATGAGGTTGCGATGGAAGGTTTTTTGCAACGGCTGCTAAGCTGCTTCGGCATCTTGTACACTTCACATTTTCACAAAGCGGTTTTAAAACAACCATTTCGACTAAAGTCTAGTCTGATATTATTATAGGTTGAAGAGGAAATGTTACTGCGCAGAGGAGCCGGAGACGCTCTGGAAGGTCGTACCGCCACCACGGCTCGAAGGAGCTTCTTCCGACGAAAAAAGCACCAAAGAGGAGGCAGTGGCTCCTCTGGATTAGGCTCTTCCAGCTCAAGGGACTCCAGAGAACTGGCATCTAAATATTATTTTTTAGATAGAATTTGAAATATATTGAATATTTATTTGTTAATTCAGGTTCTCTCCGAATCTATCCCAGATGTCGTACCAGCGCGTCGAAAGGCTGCAGTTTCCAGAATTTCGACCGGTTTTAGTCCTGGGACCGTTAGCTGAATGCGTTGCTGATAAATTAGTCAGTGATTTCCCGGAAAAATTCCAAGAGCCACTAAATAGGAGATGCACTCAAGCCCAACTAGACCGGTATGAATATCTATATTTCCTTCATTATCTATAATTTCAGCTTAATATACACATCGTCATAAAGAAAGTAGTTCAAATGAACAAGTGTCCAAAATTTACTTTTTCACTTTTGAAAGGGTAGAAGCAGGTTTAATATATTTTAAATATGGGGCGTTATAATCAATGTGTAGCCAAACTTTAGGGGGTAATCGAACCAATGCTTTCTTTTCAATATACAGGATGCAAACTTTTAAGAAATAAATCGTTTTTCGTAAATATCTTAATCTTTAACTGGTTTTCTTGATTTTGCGCAGATGTATTGATTGTAGGAAGAGGCTAAAATTTAACCCGAATTAGATTAAGGTTATTATGCCCAGCGGCGTCCCGGGAAGACGCACAACCAAAATATTTTGAGGAAAAAATGTGCGCCTCACAATCTTTTTCTGGATTTTTCGTGTCGCTTCTACACAAGCTTGACATCCTGTATATTGAGAATGAAGTATTTCTCGACCTATGCTTATATGAACTTTCTGTCTTAAACTCACTCAAAAAACACTTCCTACAATTTGGCTACGTTCAGCAACACCCTGTATGCAGTTTTAATAAGAGTAGTTCAAATGAACAAGTACCAAAAATCTTTCACAAATTAATAATTAATATACCTACTGTGAAAAAAACAACACAAAGATTATGAAGATTTTAAAACATTTGCTTTTAAAAGTTTGACACCCTATATATTGAAAATGAAGCATTTCATGGCCTTTTTTATAAGAATAAACTGAAAGAACCGCTTCCTGAAGTTTGGCTGCGTTAAATAACTTTTTTTTTTTTTTACCTGTATGCAGTTTATAAAGTAGCTCAAATGAACAAGTTCCAAAAATCAGC